GGCAACCCAAACACTGCCAGTCCCAGCCTGGGGCATCCTTAGGCCTCCCCAAGGCACATCCAGCCTCTTCCCCACCTCGAGAGCACCGAGGCCACGAGTCACCGGTGTCACCGGGGGGGGTGTTAAGCCCGGCCACGAAGCCGCCACCCCTTCCAGGCTGCACTAAAACACGGCGGCTGGGGAGTACCCGGGCAACCCCGGCAGGAGGCTCCCAAGGCGGCAGCGGAGCTGATGCAACTAGCCCCCGGGGCAACCGCAAGGCGGGAGGCGGCCAGGCCGGGCCTGGCCGGGCGGGCACGGCGGGAGCCCCGCCGCCTCAGCCCTCGGGCAACCCACCTGCGCCCCGCGGCGGAGGCCGAGCCTCGGGACCCAGGCGGTCTCTGAGGGGAGCTCGGGCCCGGCAGGGGCCGCCCTCCCTGAGGCGACGGAGCCGGCAGCGGCCGGGGCGGGTCCTCGGTCCCACCAACGGGCGGGGGCAGGGCCACGCGCAAGCCCCACCCCCTCGGCGGCGCCGGCGCGCGCTTCCCTGCTCACCCGCCGCTCGTCTTGCGGTGGGGGAGTGGGATGGGCGCGGAGGGCGGGGCCTATGTGTCCCTCACACCCGCCGTTGATTGGCGGGGGAGAGGCGGGCTCCTACGGAAGCCCGGAAGGGAGAGGGATATGGGAGTGAGGCGGGTGCTTGTCACGTGGGTGAAGCCACGCTCCGCTCGCCATCTTAGCGGCCTGCCCTCACTTGGCGGTGAGGCGTTTGTAGGTTTTGTGATGCTCAGGGGGAGGTGCCGCTGTCCCCGTACTGTCTTATAGCCCAGCCTGGCTTGCTTGTCCCCAGGGAAGTGGTGGTGGGGGTCTCCAAAGCGCTTGGCTACCTGAGCGAGTCTCCTTTCCAGGAGGGGTAGGGGCCTGGAGGAGGCTGAGCATGCTGCAGCCATCCCTCAGCTGCCGCCTCTGTATTTGGGAGATAAAAGGGCTGAAATTCCTGTCAGTGCTGGGAGGGAGCATTTCCCAAAAGGTTGAGATGCTGTGAAAGGTGCCAGGGAGGATGGACACATGAGGTTTTTTTTCTGTTCTCTTTGAGGGCAGCAGTGTTCAGGGTGAGCATTTGCGCGTGGGCTTCTGTTTCCCCTTTGGGGGCGGTGGGCAGGCTCTTGCCTGGTTGTGGTGCTGTTTAAAGTTAACCTGGGTTCAGAGACTGCGCTGGACGAATACATGGGGTGTGTGTGGAAAATCTGGTACTAAACACCACCTCACGCTGAGATGGTGCTGGAGTGTCACTTCTAGTACCCATAATGCCCTGGCGTGGGAGCAGGGTAGGTGGCCACACAGATGCTTGGCTGTACAATGGAGGTGGCTCAGTGTTGGTTTGCATACGAGGCCCTCAAAGGGTTGGGGCTTGTTCCTGGTATCTTTTTGGTGCCTGTAAAAGGCATAGGTGTTCTTTTAATGGGTTGCACCATAAATAATTAACTCCTGTGGGTTAGTTCTTTCATGTGGCCAGCTGTCCCAGCAGGAAAGGGATTTTATTCTAGCTGCTCTGATGTGTGACTAAAAACATTGCACTGGAGTATTTATTCCAGAATGGATGGGCCTGCAGGACTGTGCTTTTGTAAAACATTTTCTTTAGGCAGTCATGCAGACTAAGTGGCGATGCTGCATACTGCAGCTTTGGAAATGGGAACCCTGCAGGTATCATAAGCTTGTGAGCAAGAGACTGAACTAGAATTTCAGGATTCCAGGTGCCCCTACATGCATAATTCAGTCAAGTTTGCTTGCTGATAAAATAAGGGTAAACTTGCTTTTATGGCTGTCTTGAGTTCAGTGCTTGAAACTTAGCTGAAGCTATGGTAACGGAGTGATTAAAGTAATTGTCCCATGATCTCTAAACATGAAGAAGCTAACCGTTAAGTGTTTTCAAAATCAGGTGCACTTGAAAACTGGAACTTTCTATAGTTGCAAGTTTTCCATTCTTTCTCATATTTCCCTGTTTAATTGCTATTATAGCTGCTTTAGTAAAAACAAGTTAATTTTCTCATTAGGCAATGTGCCTGCGTGATATTTCAGTGTCTTGAAATGCAAGTATAGCAACTTTTCTCATAACTAAAACTACTCCACTATCAAATAAAAAATTTAATGAAATTGTTCTTCTTCTTTAATGTCCTTGGAAATTAAATTGAAAGACTTCTCCAAAGGCAAAAGAACTTTTCTAAAAAAGTTCCAGTCAGTACAAAGTGCAGTGATGTGCTAGAGAAGCTTCTGGAAAGGATAAAGTGTTTGTATGAAAGCTCTTACAGAGGAGTGAGTTAGTTATTCCATACATAAACCTGCATTGAGTTTTAAATCAAGGTATTCAAGATCCGTGTTTAATTAAGATAACTAATTCAAAGCACTTTAAAATCAATTTAAAAGTGTTTGCAGAAAATAATATCACTAATTTCGTTCCAGTGGGTTTACAGAGTAGGTAAGTGGCTAGGTAAGGTTATAAACTTTCTGTGATACTGATTTAAAAGATTTAAAAGTTTAAGTTGCATTCACTGAAATGTTGTCGAGTGTATCATTGCAAGTATCTAGGCAAAATGATCTTGAATTAATTTTTGAATAGTTTTACTAGTGGCTTCCTGCTAACATAGGATTTTTCTTTTAGTTATTCCTTTAGCTTTGTCATCTACAGACTTGGAGATACAACAGAAGTAACACTCCAATATAATGATAGTCAGGAGTACAAATCAGTATATGCTGTAATCAGCAAGATAAGTAAATAGAAAGCTAATGTGTGCTACATACTTAAGAAAAATTCATTGTCATTTGATATTTCCCTCAAGGTAGTTTCTTGTTTCATATGAGCTGGTTGTTACCCAGTATTTTCTTGCTATTATTCCTATACCTATTACACATACCTTTTTTATCTTTTTTGTTTGTTTGTTTTCTTTCTAATCTTTCTTTAAATATTGTAACCACTGTGAAGAAAAAAAAAAGTATCTATGATTCTTTATGAATGCCTTGTGCCTACCCAGAAGTAGAAATCGGTATTTGAGGTGGAAACTGATCTGGGTGGACCAGTTAATTGAAAACCTGAAAAATCACGATGAACACCTTTTCCCAAACCTATGTCTTTGTTTTGCTGCTTTTACTGAGTATGAGTGGAAAAGTTTTCAGGAGTTACTGTGGTGTACTCATTGCTATTAGTAATAGCTACTGCTTTTCAGTGCTGTCTTAAGGACTGTCACTTAAGGGACAGGTGCCTGTCTGCCTGCTGGTGGTGGCTGGATTGGTGTGGGACACTACAGAGTTTGGGTCTGAAACTGTTCAGTGGCGTAGAGAAAATGATGTTTGGCCAGAGGGACTGAAATAGCATTATATTCCATCATATTTTTTTATATTTTTGTGGACTTAACAAAGTACTGTGATACACTTACAGCTGTGAATCTCCTGCAACGGAAGCGTAGGCTCTGACTGATCTGTGCAAACACCTCCAGATGTAGCATCCTCCATCAAACACAGGAAAAGTCAGTTGAATTGTATGAAGGATTAATGGTTTAAAGTTGTGTTGGATGCAAAGAAAATGGTAGTTTCTCTTAGAAATGGATGATGCTGCTCTGTCTTTGACAATAGGATTTTATTTGCACATTAGTATTAACTCTGTTTCCAAGATAACTTATGAGGGGATGGTTTATCTTTTGTGCTGAAAACAGTTTGTGTTTAGAAGGACGTAAACCACTGCTGAGCATCTTTGGCATTTTTTTTTTCTCATTCTTTTTTTGAGTGTGGATGGTGTGATGTTGAGACCACGGTGTTAACTGGGGATGTGTGCTTGCAGACAGTTCACAGGGATCATGAAGAGCTTTGTTGGCCATCCACCTGACCCTCATTTTACTGTCCTTTCAGCGCTCAGGTAGATACGGAATGCTTCAGAAGAACCAGTGGCTGCCAGGTGTATAGCTTGAAATTAATGTCGTCATGAAATGGGGAGACATTTCAAGTCTCCAATTTTTCTGAAGCTTACATTTGAAAAGGAGACCTGTCTGAATACTTACAGCCAGAAGTGGGTGATATGTAGCTTGTGTTTTTGGCATTGAAAAGCACCTGCAAAAGAGGGTCTCCTTCCTCTAAAGATCTTGCAGGAGGGAAGATCAGAAATAGCTACTTCTAAAAACTTGCACAGGTTTGTGATGCAGTTGTGCCACAAGAGAAAATGTTAAACCATATCTATAAGAAAATAGTTGTACTACTATGGTTATATTTCTGTAATTGAAATTGTTATATCACCTTTGTGTGCGTACAGTTGTAACAGCAGAAAGATGTCTTATACTTCTGGTAAGAAAGGTACATTGATATAGGGTATCGAGGAGCTAAGTAATTATTTCAGACTTCTGTTTTCTAATGAAATACTGGGGATATATGGGAACCAACAATATGTTATTATAGAATTTATAGATAAGAAAAAGGTGACATTTACTAAATCCATTAAAAAAATAACAGAAATGAGCAAAGGCGTTATTCATTTATTTTACAAATACACAAAATAGAGTATCGTGAATATCTTTTTTCAAGGAAAGTGAAGAATGAAATCACACATTAAGTATACCAGTCACCTTCAATGCTGTTTGATTTGTTACTTATTGTCTAATTAAATCATACCATACTGAAATTTAGCCTACTTGCTTCATCAGTAGTTCTACTAGTCTTTGCTACAGCTCTTTCAAATATTTCAAATATTGCTGTGATAAAATCTTAGCTTCTAAAATCAGTAATGTGAAAATAATGGGGAGGGCGGGGGGGAGGATAAAATTGCTCCTATATCTCAAGTGGCAGAAGTGAGTATCTGTCATTGCAGCCCAGCATCTTCGTGGAAAACATCTCATTTCACACTGTACTGTAAAACAATGGATCATATAGTGAGGATCTTCCTTGGCTAATAAAAGTAGTAGACCTTCAGCAGGTCAGTCAGTGTGACGAGGAAGACTATTTTGCTATTTTAAGTTTCAGTCAAGTTTTTGACTTATGTATTACTGTATGTCTTTATTGTGAGACGTATAGTCCAAGCCTCCTTGCTGCTTCAGATATTCTGGGCCCTTTTTTGTTAGGGAAAGGGTAATAGTTTAGTTTGTTGCAGGCTGGTGTGCATTTTGTAAAAGAAATATGTTGATTTGACCAGGCTGCTGAAGTGGCTGATTTCAGTGGAGGCTTTTGGCAGGCGCTTGCAGTGTTGCAGCCACTCTCTTTGCTGAAACTGTCCAATGTGCTTGAACTTCCCAGTTGACTGAGTGTGGATGGTTCACTTGCTCCTTCTAATTCGTTGGGTTGCAGTGTGCTGTTCCCCTTTGAAATCAGTCTCTGATTGTCAAAACTGCATGGTCTGTTCTTGCAGTGGGAAAGATCCCAGGGAACCCCGCGACAAGGGGCTTGCACCAGGCGGTGGATTCCCAGGTGGGTACGCCATGGTGAGTTGTCTTGTATGTTGCCACTGCTGGTCACCTCCAGTCTTACTTTTCTGACAGGAACACATTCTGTAAATGACTTTGATCTTCTCACTTTTTTATTAATTAACACAGCATTGACCATTGATTCTGGGAGAGCAGATTCGTGTTCACCTACAAGAGAAATGCATGTACGCAGGTTACTATGGTGGCAAAAATTACAGGTGTAATTTCTGTGGCACAAACTCAACCGAAGAGCTTTAACAGATGAGTTTATGTGTATTCTTTCCATCTGTGGCTGAGAGGAGTGCAAGTTCTTTTGATGCCAGGTTATAGAGTAGAAATATTTCATGCTTGGTTTTGCAGTTCTGAGGACATAAATGGTACCCTAGGGTTAGTCAAATGAAAATGGAGATTTATCAAGTCAATATTGATCTAACTGGTACTTTAAGACTCATTAACAACACAGATTGAGAATTGACTTCCAGTAATTAATTGCTTGTAAGCAAAAATTCGTAAAGTGAGCAGGGACTTGCTCTCTGTGTTGGTAGGTGCTGTGATTTGAAAGACAAAAATGTTCTGTTTGATACTGTTTGAAGTTTGTATTCACAACTTAAAAATACCGTGACCACTTCTAGATGAAACAAGTTGTGAATTTCTTTCTTCTTTTTCTTAATGAGGGATCATTGACGTATAGGCTTGTATTTTAATATTTACTGCAATTTTACTATTGTCGTCAATAAATGGTGTAAAGTAAATAGCTTATAGCACTAGTGTTGCCTGAATGATTGCTTAGAGGAAAAATCTGCTTGCTCCATGAATGGTATGGAGTAGCTGTAAGAGTGGGAGAGAATCTGGTCAGTGTGAAAGTTACTGTTAGAAACGTATAAGAAATTAAGAATAGAAATGCTAATGCTACTTTAATTACATGTAGCAGCCATCAAATTACTGAACATGATGGGCTTTCTGTGCCTTGAAAATTAATAGAAACTGAACCATTACACTAAAGATAAACGGTGCTGTTGACATTGCAACTACTAATGAAATATACTTAAGTTAGTATAAATATATTTTAAAGTAGGAGTTTTACAAAATGCTGACCTTATTTGCAGGGTTGGGTTATAGAAGCTGTGTCTGTTGCGGTATGAGTTATGGAGCATATTAAAGTGAAAAAAGTTGCCATAGAGGAGTGCTGATTATATTCTGAAACAGAATAACTGAATATCCATTTTAAAAGAATTGTAACCCTGAATTTGAAATGAAGCTGGTTTGAATGGGATGCTGCCTTTTAAAAAAAGCAACAGCACAACTCCCCTTTTATAAGTGTCTTTCATACCATTGTGACAAGGAAATATTTGAAGATGTCACACCCAGCTGATTTACTGGCAGTAAATGAACCTGTACAACAGGACTTCAGCTAAGGAGGGGCTGTCACTGCTGTCTTTGGCTCCCATTGCTGAAGCAACACTACCAGTGTGGTATCACAGATTTTTTTTCTGCTCCCTGGGTTGCCCGTGTAGCGTTGATCTGATAAGAGCTGATTTGCAGCCTGGATCTGGGAGTAAGAACTGAGTCAGTCCATATCTTCTGCTCTCCTGCAGTGTTACCAGGAGAAGGGAGTCTAAAGCACATGCGGAGTGTAGAGATATAGATGTGTTTGTGCATATGTCTATACAGTGAAGTATGCTAACAGAATTTCCTAGGGTGAAACCATTCATAGAGATAGGAACACACAGTTTTCTATCATGTAACATTGAGAATCAAAGTTATGACTAGACTTCATCCAGGAAGCTTGGGTGTCTACAAAAAGTCCACTTGCAAAATAGAGCCCTGTGTGTTCTGCAGAACAGCACAGTATAGCACCAAGCTACAAAAATCAGGGCTTGTCCTCCATATGTGAGAGAAAAAGCAAGAGAGAAAGAACTGAGAGATGGAGGTGATGCAGCTTTGCATGTTCTTGTGGATGTAATTGCACTCTTGGTTGAACTGGCATTGATAAGCAACATCAGGTTTTATCTTGAACCTTACGAAGAAGGTCTTCAGGAGAATTATGAATTGGCTTGAGTTGATCAGAGAGTTCAAAGTAAGGCATTTAGTCCAGTTTTAATAGTCTGGACTGATTTTGAGTTCAGGTTTGATTTGATTCCTTGGCTACAGGTGCAGCACACAAAATTGAGCAATGACCTCTGATAGAAATGTGAGAGTCCTGAACCACTATGTATTGAATTAACACACATTCAGTACTCTGTAAACTTCTAAAGAAAACTTTAGTTAGACAGATCTTTGGTCTGTTTATTTTTATTTCTTTTTTTTTTTTTAAGATGTGCATAATAGCCATGTTGCAGGGTTGTTTACCATTTGGCCTTTTTCATGTGCTGTCATAGGTAGATACTTCTAAGGTTCTGGAGTGACAAAAGTTAATCTTATTTCAAGTCAGCTTGGGAAATTCTTGGAAGAGATTTCTGCAGTCAGAGCCCCAGTGTTTATTCTGTTATGACTGCATGCGCTGAATGCTCCCATTTAATTCCTAAAGTAAATACTGTTTTTCAGCTTCTTAGCCAATAAATAATGAATACACTACTGTATTATTCCCTAGCTGGCAGCTTTCAAATCTTGTCATGGTCTTTGTTCTCAGATAATCAGGAACAGGCAGGAGCACGACCGTGGCTGTGTGTATTGGGGAAGGAACAAAAGAAAGTTGTTTTCAGGTGACTTCTCAGTTACTAACCCACTGGTCAAAAACCTAGAAAAGTTAGATAATCTTGAGTTCTGTTTAAAGGTCCACAATTTCATGACTCTGGCAAACAGGTAGTGACAGACAAAGCTAAAAGTCCTCAAGGAAACTTGGAGTTACCATTCCAGCTGTGGTACAATACACCTGAAATGCTCAAAACCCCTGTAGTATCATGGATGGTCATCTGGTCTGTCAGGCAGGAACAATTTAGGTTTTTACTAGTTAGAACAAAGACCTTTGGCAGGGATTTTTAAAACCATGAGGGACTGAAGGTGCCCCCCTTTCATTAAGTTTGAATCTCAAGCTTTTTGTGTTTGGCCTCTGAGGTTTGTGTGTATGTGTGGGGTTGTGGTGGTGCTGTCATTGTCCCCTTTGCAGCCCAGCCATGATCTTA